CCCCCCCCCCCCGGAACCAAAGGCAGAAAGAGGAATGAATAGCTGAGTCGAGTTGAAAGCGGTGACAGACAGACAGACAGACAGGCTGGCCAACGAGCATATTCACAACTAGAGCCCCTAACAATGCCATCATGAAAAAACGCCCCCTCATAGACAGACAGACATATGGTAATAATTAAGAGATCTCTGCCTCCCCCACGCAGCAGACGAGTAATTGAGAAGCCAAAAACTCGTGGTTTGTCAGTGAATGGACTGACTGCACATGGAGGAATAAAGGGAAGCAAGGAGGTGGAGCCGGGGGGTGGGATGAGTGGCTGGTCACGTCTTGGGCTGTGGGTCATCGCCTGCCTCAGACGCCTCCGACCCGCCATCGGTGTCGCCCTTCTTCTTGGGGGCCATGAGCTCCATCAGACTCTTCCGGGCAGACAGCTCCTGAAGGACAAGAAAAGCAGAGAGGGGGAGGGGTGGTGAGTGTTGTGTGTGGGTCATCCGTGGCTGGGGTGTGAGTGTCAGTGTGCTTACGTTTGCCTTTCGCCTGAGTGTCCTGACGACATACTCTAACCGCTCGTCGGTCGTCCCGTATTGAAAGGAGGCCAACTGACATTCCATTTCGCAGACGGAGACCATCGACGGAGGGAGAACAATAGGCATACGCTTCCTGCCCGCTCTCGTTTGATGTCCTGTACCTGTTCCAGCGGCGACAGATGGAAGGATTGAGCCACAAAGGACAGCCAGTAGTAGGTCTCCGCCTCAGTCATGCGCCACAGCTCCAGAGGCCCATTCTGACTCAGCGAGTCCTCCCACCGCCTTTCCAGAGATCCCCTGCAATGCGAGCAATCAGCCGCACACAATCCATCCATCCGCCCACCGATGCTGGCCGACCCCACCCACCTTGTGCCGATATCAGCGGCGAGTCGCGACCAGCCCGACTTCTCGGCGAGCGCCTCGGACGTCTCGTCACAGTACCTGACGAGGTCGACGATATCGCTCTTGAGTTCCCGGGCCCTGTCGATGTCCTGCACAGGCTGAGTGGCGTTCTTGCTGAAGGCCGGCAGGTCGTGAGTGACAATCGCCTTCGGGTAGGGCTCCACCTTGACCAGCCGCTCGACATTCACTGCACCCTGGATCTGGTACTGAAGGAAACCAGCCCACACAGAAGACAAAGGTGAGCGGCACATGCGTGGTCCGTCCTTATACCCTTGCCTCTCCCTCCCACCTGCAGCAGGATGCCGTTTTGTGTCTTCCTCCATCGGATGACCTGGGCGAGAAGGGCGTACTGGAGGGGCTTGGCACCGTCCCAGTCGAGCTCGCTGTCGGACGGCGGCGCGTTGGGCGTGCCGCTGCCGCCCTTCCTGCCAGCGCCCGACCCCACCACCTTGGGCACCTCAGCCTGGTGCTGCTGGAAGAAGGGCACGGTGGGCCTCATGGTGCCGTCGCCGTCCTCCTCCTCCTCGTCATTGTTGGTGGGCTCGTCGTACAGCAGGAAGCCGAAGCAGTAGTGCTTCTCGTTGAAGCCCTGCTGGATGATCTCCGAGACAGTGTACTTGTTGACCTCCATCGTGAACCGCTCGCCCGGCAGCAGGTCGACCTGCTTGAAGCTCTCGGTGTCCTTTTGCTTGAGGAAGCCGTAGGAGAGGCTATGGCTGCGCGGCAGGCGCATGGGGATCATGTCCAGCAGCCCGTGAGTTGTCAGCTGCCGGTATCGCCACTCCTCAACACCCATCGATGGCTGCAGATGGTCTCGCCGCCTCCTTGGCCGCAGTCTTGGCACAGGGGACGCCCTCCTGGATGCAAGAAAGCCCTTGCTGGCACGCTGTGACGGCTGCTGCCGCCTCATCGACGCTTGTGCGGGCCTCAGGCTCATAAAGGACGGCGGCTGGCTCTGGAATGGGTCGGCCAGAGTGACGGAAGATGAGAGCGTTGCAAGGAAGCTCATGATGAGGGGAAGCATTGCTGGGGAGGGCAGGGGGGGCTGCACAGGTTCGCTGACGTCGGCCTGTGCGCCGGGCAAGATCAGCGAAGAGAAAAGACAGATCAGCACCAGACGTGAGATGGGCTAGGCTCCATCGTCTCCGACAGCTCTCTTTTGGACTCGTCCTGCTCACGAAGCTTCTGCGAGCCTAAGAAGAAGTTGCGTTTCACGCAGTGCACCAAAGCACGCTTGCATTCCCGGATGCACGGCGGAATGGGGCGCATGCGGTGGTAGATTGGCCACTTGCTGTGGTAGATTGGAGCTCATCATGGCTGCCCGACGTTCGTCCTCGTCGTCTGCCTCGCCGCCGGCAGAGCCCCTGACCAGTGTGTCCACCTCCACAGGTGCGTGAGCACATTTGACACACGCACCAACCATTCATGTGCGCACTCAACCACTGTCCATCCATCCATGATCCGTGGGTCATGTCTGCCTCCTTGGTGCTTCTCTCTGTTCATTCAGCTGGTGCCGAGCAACCCAAGAAGAGCGATGGTCGGGCGAAATCACTCACGCACTCACTCACGTGTTTTGTCCATCTGTTGACTTACTACAGGCGGGGAGGGTAGCAAGGAGTGGGGGATCAAGAAGGACATCCCGCGTATTTTTTTGGAGGAGTGGATCCGTATCGAACAATGGGTATCGAAGCTGCCTGGGAAGCTGCCTTCGACAAGTGCCGCTGACCTATAGGTCAGGCAAGACACACACAGCGACAGAGGCAGATAGCCAACGGACGGCGGGCGTGTACATAACTGGTTGATGGGCGACGGGCAAGTTACATAAATGGACAGGACAACAGACGGACATAGAGGGAGGGAGAGAGACACTCTGGCTGGCTGTGTGTTCGTTCACCTGCCGGCCTGCCGGCATCGTGCTGTGAATGTATCTCCATGAATGCCCTGTGCTGCAGCCATCCATGTATGTGCCGCGTGGAGGGTTACATACCTGGATGTGTTGATCGATGATGCTGCCTTATTCGATGACTGACACGTGTGGTGGAGAACACCTGTATATGCGCGTAACGACTCTCGCTGGCATCATCCGTACACAGAGTTACCTATCTAGAGGCCTGCACGAAGAGGAAGGCATTCGACACAAGATACAGACACACGGGTGCGATTTCCCAGGGTAGCGCACGAGGGCCTGCATCGATGGGAGGGGGCAGATGGCAGACATGTGTGGCTGGTTGGTTGACGGGACGGCTGGCGTTGTCTAAAGCGTGTGGTGTCCGTCGCAGCTGTCCCTTTCCGTTTGCTGCCGGCTGTCTGGATGTGTGGATTGGTGACTGACTGGCTGCTCGCATGACGGGGCAATGCGAGTGACATGATCAGTGGGGGAGGGTACTGACTGAATCGCATGGAATTGGATGGAGTGGGGCACCTCAGCGTTATGCACATGAAGAGCCACACACGTCTGGATATCTACATCTTGAGACCAAGCACTGCTGTGTCAGTCCATCTACTCGCCCTCATCCCCCTTGATGTGTTTGTGTCCGTGCGTAGTCGACAAGAGAGGTCACACCATGACCCCAGCCGTACGCCCACAGAAGGACCCAGTTGGCCACAAGAATGGCACCGAAGAGCGCAGTCTCGATGACCGTCTGCCCGAAAGAGCCCTCGGTTGATTTCCTCCTGCTGCCTTCCCTCACCGCGGCATCTCGGTGCAGAGACGCCGACACAGGGTGGCCGTCCATGTCGTCCTCGTCCATCGATTGAGGGTCGATGAGTCGGGCATTGCTCAGGGAGCCGATCTTGGGCTGGAGCGGACAGGTGCCCCACTCGGCCGACAGCATGTGCCGCATCAACGAGCCATACAGGGCAAAATCTGAACACAACAACACGAGGGCATGAAGGAGGGAGAAACCACATCAGGCTGTGCCCACCATCTGTGGTGTCGGGGAGGTATCCAAATGCCGGGCGGATAGCCAGAAGGACGAAGAAGAGACCGAAGTGGACAAGCGCGTCGCCGAACAGATGGTAGACCTCCGGCTGATGGACTGCATCAAATACCATGCTCCCGCCATGCAGAAAAGACTGCATTCAGACAAACGGACAGACAGGCATATATATGATAAGGAAAGAAGCGAGGCGGTTTCGGCTTTCATCTCACTTGCACAAGGACGAAGTCCAGGATGAGTATGTGTCTGATAGGTCGGAAGGTGGCTCGCCAGATGAAGAACCCCAGCGTGCAGAAGATCATTGCAAACATCCGCTCATACGGGACATTGAAGGGCGTCCACCGACCTGCGCCAACCACCCACCGATGAGCGCACTCTCACCTTGCATCTCCCCAGTCCCGTACATATCTGTTTGTATGTGTGTGCTGCGCTGCCCACCTGGCCACGGCATGAATGTGAAGGTTGTCGTGGAGAAGGCGAGAAAAATGGCAAACAGCCGCAGCACCACTTTGTACGTGATCAGATTCCAGTCATTGACCTGACAATTAACACAACACAACACACAGCACGCCACACCACGTGTTTGGCCTCCGCCGCGTGCATGTCCGTCCTCACCGTAGCAGCAAGCAGGGCCACACAGTAGCCCAACACCAACTGGAAATACGCCGACGAGAGGGGCTGTGGGAAGAGTGGGCTCGAAGGGATGCGCCGCACCTTGGCGTTCGCGTAGACGTAATCCCAAGTGATGAAGACGAGGAACAGAAGAGTCCCGAAGAGCCATCGTGGCGTGATCAGAATGGTCAAGGGGGAGGCTTCGTAGTCGATGCTCTGCGTGGGCAGCGGTAGTTGCTTGAGCTGCGCCGAGCCGATCTCCAGCGAAATGAGTGCCCTTTCGGTCCAGGGGAGCGGCGCTGGCTCATGCTGCCTCGCAAGAGACCACATCGAGGAAATGAATGACGCACTGGGACAGAGCCGCAGTCCAGATCTCCTGCCAAACGGTGCAGATCTGCACCGTGGCTGGACCGAAGCAACGGTTGGTTGGTTGGTTGGTTAGTGTGTTCAACGAGCAGCGGTGCACCTTGGAAGGAAATGCGAGCTGTCAGAGCAAGAGTGTGGCCGAGAATGATTTCATTCATCTACGCGGCGTTGGCGAAATGAGCATCGTCACGTACACACACCCATATATACATATACAGAAGCGACGATCCGGCGGCAGGCAGACAGACTATAGACATTTGAGCCAGATTCATTCACACCACACCGCACCACTCATCGTCAGATAGGTGGACCATTCACACACACACACACACAGACGTTGATATGTACACACACAGTCAGTCAGTCAGTCAGTCAGTCAGTCGTCACCCAGTCGGTCTAGATCAACTTTCCTCTTGACTCTCTCCCCCCCCCTCTGTCTTTGCCCGATACTTCTTCAGGCGACTGGCCATCTACTTGACCTGGTTGTTGGCGTAATCCTCGATGGTGCGTGTGGCGTTCTTCTTGGGGTTCTCCGCGACCCACTTGTCATAGGCCTGCTGCAGCTCGTCCCGGTGCTTGGTGCCCTCTGGCCAGATGTCCCTCAGATGCTCAGCGCCACTCTTCTCCTGCTGCGCACATAAACCAGCACACACAGCACGGCCCGGCACAGTGAGGGTCATTGATGGAATGCTCCTGACGTACGTATCGGAAGCTGCTCCTTCAGGAAGGTATCAAAAGTGGTGAAGAGCTTCTTGTCGATCATGCCTATGCCATCGAAGAGTATGTCCTGCTCTGCTTCCGTCCGCTGCCCCACCCAGTACAGGAAGCGGTCCTGCACCCCATCGACACACACATGAAGGCTGGCTGACTGGACTTTGGCTCGCGTGTGTGCATGCCTTACTGTTGGCTTCAGCTGCTTTGCGGGAAGAGTGAACGCCCGTCGCACCTTCCGAGGAGACACATACAGCGCAGCGCCACCCGTCCCCTCGCTGGCAACGTCAGACACCTGAGGCCATGGACCACAGACACGTGTGTGTGGCCTGAGTGATGTGGTGTGATGCGATGTGATGTGATGTGTGTGTGAGGTCGGCACACTCACCTCTGGTACCGCCTGGAAGGGCTGCTGCTGGTTGACAGTGCCTTGGCCTTCAGATTCTCCAACAGGACTACCCAACTGCGGCCAAACAGAGGCAGAGAGACGATCCACCGATGGACCACACACACATCCATCCACCTCACACCGGCAGACAGACACAAGCACCCACCAGTGAGTGACCATGGGGTGAGGGGGCGGGCCCTCCGTATGCTTCCAACTCTGCACACACACACACATGTGTGTGCACATGGAGGTGCCCCCCACCCGGCGCAACATACCCGACTCGTCAATCTGCTTCAAACACTCCAGCTTGCGCTGCACACACAGACACACACACACACACACACTGGTGTGGATGGATGGATGGATGCCTCCCCCTCACTCACCGACCTCTATGAGCATCTCTGTGTCGGCGAGCTTGCGCTTCGTGACGCCGTTGTGCTTGGCCGGTAGATAGAAGATCTCCGGCTCGGCCCTGTGGACACAGACATGGATGGATGGACACACACACGGATGCACCAGGGTACGGCGCTCGTGTGTGCGGTGTGGTGTGGTGTGGTGTGTGGTGGTGACTCTGTCCTGATGAAGTTGCGCATCTTGCTGTAGTCGATGCTCAACTTCTCATTCTGACACACCAGCAAGCATCCGACATGGTCAAGAGGGCTGGGGTGGGCCTCTATCGGTGTGTGGTGGTGAGGGGACGGCTCACCAGCTCCCGAAGCTCCTTCTTGTGCAGCTCCCGGGCCAGCTCGCTCAACCGCTGCTGGTCGCTCGCACGACGATCCTGTGTTTCCGCACACACATGACACACAAGACTTGGTCCCACGTGCCCTGTCGTGTGTGTGTGGATACCGTGTTGCATGGTTTACCTTGGCCTCCTTTCTGGCGTTCTCCTTGAGTCTGAGTTCCTGCTTGCGCCCTGGCCACGGTGTGCGCCATCTACAGGAGATATTCCCACACCGACGTGCATATGTGTGTGTGTGTGTGTGTGTGTGCGTGGGGGGCTGGGGGGCGGGGGAGGTGCTGACTGACCGTGTCGGACTCCTTCTCGGTCTGAAGCGCGTCATGGGCCTTCTTCAAATGTTCTGAAGCACAGCGACACACACACACACACACACACAGGGGCGGACAGATGTGCATCGAAATGTGTGTGTGTGTGTGTGTGTGCGGTGCATACCCTGGAGCCCTGCAAACATGTTTCGGTTCCGCTTCTTGAGCGTGTCGTCCATCTGCACCACACAGACCGACACGCACGCACACGGACACACACAGAGAGAGAGACCTGGTGAGATGAATGGCATCGAGTATCCAAAAAGGTAGAGATGCGCGAGCACACACAGATTTTACCTGATGATCCGTGTCGGTCTGCACATGAGCTACGGCTACGTCGCCCTCAAAACGGCCCCGCTACAGCACATCACATCCGTCCAGCAGCACAACAGACAGAACACACAAACAAGAGGGCAATGGACGCGTCAGCTGTTGGTTGTCGTGGGTGCGGTGCAACACCTTGTTGGGCCCTGACTTGTCGTCGTCCTCGATGGTCCGCTTGGGAACAGCGGCTACACGCACACAGAGGATTGCATTGCGCGCACACACATACACATCCCTCCCACCCTCCATCCCGCCCTCCCTTCGTCAGTCCACCTACCTCGGAGGAATGATTTGCCCTCCTCCGTACCCTGCACACAAGCACATGCACACAGACACAGGAGGCTGGATGATGGAATTGCTGATGGGTCAAGCCTGTTACCTCCATCGCGATACCCTCACTAAAACCGACTTGTCGCCGCGTGTGTTTGGCGTGTGTTGCAGTGGGACATGGCCATGCCAAATCCACCACTGGCCTCACATCTGGAAGGCACCAACTGCTCATTGATGTGTTGCTCGTCAGGCTGGTGACAGTGGTGGCCCTGCTGCTGCTACAGCGGCTCCCCGTGGGTCGCTGTTCGACGGCATAGCTATGCCAAGTGCTCCGGCGGTGCGCACAGCCGAGAGAAGACACACGAACACAACCTAGCATGATGACATCTGCGTCTCCTTGCTGTCAGGTCGCTTTCCCGACTGTTATCTCTGCTGCACCGCCCCCTTTCGCTGGCCATGCCATGCCGATGCTGCCGATGGTCCATCCGTCTGGCCCCCCTGCCGCCACGATAGCGTCCCACCGCCCCTCATCACTCTGTGGCGGTCCCCCTCCAATCAACCCTGGCGGTGCTGCGGCTCCCCACGCGCACTATCTGCCCCCTTCCCGGCCGCCAGCAGCTCCATTCGGGCCATCGCCGCCGAGCCATCCCCCGCCACGCGCCGTGTTGCATTCTCCTCCTGGCCGTCCACCGTCGCCCCCCACTGGACTCCATCCTGGTGCAACCGCTCAGGCGTTGCCAGTAGGGGGAGGCCCTCCACAGCCACCGCCGCATCCCTGGCGCCCAGAGGCGCCGCACCACACGCGTCAGGGCACCAACCACAGCCGCACGGCTCGGCAGGGGGACGCGCGGGGACATGACATGACTGACGTGCGTGTGTGCGGCAGCGAGGGAAGGGCAGGCAGGGCGGGGTGGTCGGGAATGGATGGACACTTTTATGGGTTAGCTCATGGCGATGCGCGTCCATCCAATTTGATCGAATGGACGTGTGTACGGGATGGCAGACATGGGGATCATTCTGAGTCTGCGTGTATATGCATAGACTGCGGTGCGTGTGTAGACGGGCAATGGGTGTGGGTGGACCCTGTGTGTGATGATTGCTGCTGAATAGAGAACTGCTTCATTACTGTTGTCATCCCATCCACCAGGGTCCACATGCACTCTGTCTGCCATTCATGCGACCCATTCTAACACATGTCCCCGAACACCACTCACAGACATCACGTCCATCTTTGATGAATAGAGCGATGCTTTCATGAATAGAGCGGATGCAATTGAGCGGAAGGCGGCTCACCCAGCAGACTGTGATGGATAATGATGAAATTTGATGTGCCGGCCGCCATGCTGAAGGGCCATTCTGACATCTGAAAGCCATGAAGCCACGCGAGCGGAGCGAAGAGGAAAAACGGCGATCCACGCGAGCTTTTGAGAGTGCGTCAGGAGTGCGAGTGTGAGACAGACAGACAGAGAAAGAGAGACAGAGCGAGAGAGGATGCCTGAGATTGCCGCCGCTGCTGCCCAAGGTGGCGCCGCTGCCTGGCCTGTGATGCGGGACGGCGACGACCCTCTTGTGTTTGAACGGGCGGTCAAGAAGCTGCTTGAGGAGGACCGTGAGGTAAGCAAGCGGTCCTGTGGGACACCAACGCTGCCAAAACTCATTCAACTTTCTCTACTGGCGTTCTCTGTCTGATTCCTCTTTATGTCTTGCTGCAGGAGTACGAGAGGTGGCTGGAGGCCAGTGGAGGCGCCGACATCCTGTGGGAGGGCGCCGCCCGCTGCGCCGATGTCAGTGACGCACACGCGAAAGCGCCGAAAATGGATACCCCGCATGTGCCAGCACAGCACTGGACGCTTCGTTTCTGTTCTGTGTTGCTGTGTGTCTGGTGCAGAGCGCGGCCGACATGTGGTTCGCCCAGGCGGCGGAGGCCAAGGCCAAGGCCGAGCACGCGAGGGCACTGGCTCAGCAGACGAGGGCGAAGAAGCGGGGCAGCACCGCCGGCATGGCCACCACCACTACCACCGCCAACGCCAACGTCACCGCCACCGGCAGCGCCTACATGCCGCCAAAGGGCCACTAGTACATGCCGCCCCCACCCCAGCCAAAGGTGGTGCGCCCCCAGCCGCTGCCCTTCAAGGCCTGCGGTGATGGTGCTGGCACCGCCTCCCACCGCACTCCAGCCCGAGGGCTGGTATGGGGATGATGTCAACGGGCTCATGCTGTGGGAGTGGGACAAGGGGGCGCGGGTGTGGTGGGTGAGGGGAGGGAGGCAGGATTGCTGGATGAGATGTGTGAGTGGGCTGTATTTCGGGCTGTGGGGGCTGTCTGGGGGGAAGCAATCGTAACGACTGCCTTGCGATGTCTGTCTGTCTGTCTGGGTGAGTGAGTGAGTGAGTCCGCTGATCCATCTGTCTGTCTGGCTGGCTGGCTGTCTGTCTGTCTGTCTGCCTGTCTATCTGTCAGGCTGTCTGTCTGTCTGAATGTCTGTTGCCCTCTCTGCCTGCCTCATCTGGGTGAGTGTGTGTGTGTTTTTTTGCGTCAACGTGCCCCCTTTCTCTACCGCCACCCTCCAGCAGTCCCACCCCCACCCACTCCAGTATCAGCAGCACCCCCACCCCTACACACACAGCAGCAGCAGCAACATCAGCTTCACCAGCCTCAGCCCCTCCAGCCGGTTCTTCTTGTGGACCCGAACGACCCCCTGCCCCACGCCCAAGTGCGTACCCCATCGACATCCACGTGAAGCCCTCACCACTACCGAGGCCACCCACCAGACCAGTATTCCGCTCGCCAGCTTGCTCTCGGCCGCTCATCCAGAGAACGAACTATCTGAGGCGTCTGTGACGAGCATGAGGGCGGCCCTGTCTGAGCTGCGTGAGGAGCTGGAGCCCTTCCGGCAGGCGGCACTGGCGCTGCACCGTGCCACCCAGTCTGGCCAGCAGCTGTATGAGGTGCTCATGGGAGGTGGCGACCTGATCGAGTTAGTGGTCAACGAGAGCCATCCCGTCACTCTGGGCGACATGACCAACCCGTTTGGTGGCCTGACGAGCGAGCTGGGTGACAAGGAGTCGGACGGGGGCGCGAGGGCGGGTTTTCCTCTGAACTTCTGGGGCCGTGCCCGGCTGGTGAGTGAGGGTGCCAAGGAGGTGTCGGTGAGTGTTGGCGGCCGGCGGTGCCAGGTGCAATGCTACGATCGCTTGGTGGATAACGAGTGGAGCCTCAAGGTGGGCTACTCCCTCAGCCCACTGCTCCACCGATGGACACCACCATATGAAGGTGAGGAGGGACGAATGACCCAGACCAGAAGATACGCACCGAGGGCGCTCTCCCTTGTGTGCATGTCAGGGATGATGAAGCAGCGGAGTGAGCTTTTGTACCGCTACAACGACCTGTTTGAGCTGGAGCGCGTCGAGGACCTCGACACGTCCCCTCTCTCGCCCCCACACAGCCGCGCATACATCCACTTCGGCCCGCCATTCCCTGACCTCTTCCGCCTCAAGATCGGCACCGCCGTCAAGGGCAAGGCGGCCTTCGGCGTGGAGTTCTTCCCGATGCCAGCCAACTTCACCCACAGGTGTCCCCCGCGAACACCATGCTCTCCATCCCCCTCTCGCTCGGCCTCTCCATCACATGATACGACTGCAATGAGAATGACGTCATCGACAAGGACGACGACGGCATGAACGGGCCGGAAGGTCACTCAAAGGGTGAGCAACCCAAGCCACCAAACCAGACACACACACACACACACACTCGTACAACACAACATGTTCCCTGACCTACCTGCCTCGTGTGCTTCTCTAGGTGTGCTGCTCTCCATCGCCGGCCGTCCTTTTGCTGCATGCAGATAACGACTGGGGCCTCCCTCGGCCTGCCGAGTCGACGTATCACGAGGATCATTTCCCCCAGCCGCCCACGGCCACCCCATTCATGCGGCCCTCACCCGACACGCCAACGCAGACTGGGAGGGGGCACCGCACTCACAGGGGGTCTCAAGCTGGCAGACCTGTCACACTCGGAGAGACCCCAGGCAGACAGACAGGGGAGACACCAATCCCTGTGGGTCCCCCAGGCGGCACTGATACTACCCATGGCGTTGAAGCAGTAGCGACAGACGGTGGTGGAGGGGAGCATGTGGATGGCCAGGATGAGGAGGATGTGGATGGCCCTGTTGCCTCTAGCGGCAACGAACGGTTCTACACGGGGACAGAGGCGAGGGTGCATCGTGGCGCGGACGAGCGGGACGGACAGCCTGCAGCTCAGCGACGAGCGGCTCAGTGACGATAACGTCTTCATCTCCTGGCGACGTCGGGGCAGCTCCCTGCCGCCTCGACACTGGAGACGGGGTCGAGCTGGAGACGCAGCATCGAGTGGCGGTGACCACTGCATCGGCTGGAGACGGCCGGGGTGTGTTGACCCACCCACGGCCAGTTAGTCGATGGGAGGTGCCGGTGTGAATCTTGGCTGCCGCAGCCCCTCGACCATCCCCGGTTTGTTTCTGTGTCGTCTGCGCCTGGCGGCGACGGGCTGGTGCGCACCGACGTCATCAGGGAGTCGCCGAGGGTTGAATGTCGACTGGCTGCGGCACGATGGACAGGAGGAATGGGCGGCGTTGGGGGGAGGACGAGAGAACGCGCTGTCGTTGGAAGCCGCGCTCTGGACTATGCTGCGGGTGGTGGCCAGAAGCATTTTCGCCTCACTCACTGTCCCGTCGTCGTCAGCCGACTGCTGCTCGTCTGGTTGATCGGTCACAGATGGGTCAAGTAAGGCCTGCCAGTCGTCCCGCATGCGGTGCTGCAAAATCCCCCCCCCCCTGCTGCTGCGGCGGACATCTGAGTCCCTGATGATGCCCTGTAGCGATCCATTGCTGCGATGATAGGATGGCTGGCTGGCTGGCGGACTAAACGGATGGATGGACATGATTGTCTTGTGATGCTGATTATGATGCTGGTTCGTGACATGAAACGTGTCTGTGCTCGATGGATGGATGGCTGCTACTTCATGGGGTCGGTGTGTTGCTGCATGGCAGGGCATGACGTGTGAAGGGCCTGAGAACGGTCTGGATGAGTTCATGCCCGGCCAGTAGCGACGGCCGGCCCATACATACATTCGTTCATGCGTGAGTACATTGACTGACATTTTTCGTTATGAGACGTGAAGACTGCCTCCTATTATCTGCCGTGTTGAGTCGTTCCCTCACTGACCTGACTGACCTGACTGACTGACCTGATGAGACAGAACAGAGAGGCGAAGAGAGGCCAACCTGACAGACAGACAGACACGTGTTTAGTATTTGTCGACCCGAGTTGTGGTGAAGGGAGCGCTGACACGCATTTATCCGACCTGATCTGTGGCGGGTGATCTGCCCGCAGCTGTTTTCGTTCCCTCTCTTGTTCTGTTGGATGAAATTCTTTCAGCGTGCTGTGAGCAACTGAGTGGCTTCATCTTCATGTGAGGTAGCTATACGGTGGCATTTGTCCGATGTGTGCTCGTCGGGACAAAGGGGTAGTGATTGAGACAGTGTTTGGGTGCTGGTGAGACAGAGAATGCGTGAAGGGGCAACTGTTCCATCCGATATCTGATTCACACGGATAGTCCTCGCAGACACACGCATAGTCATCTTCAATCAGATGCAGCCACCGTCTGTTCACACAACATGCAGCCAAACAGCCAGCCTGCTGCTGCCCATCCCATCCCACTGGTCACTTCCACCCCTTCCTACACTCTCACACGTCCCGTAAACCGTCTCCAGTCCATCCATCCATCCATCCACCCACCCCGCCGTTCAACCGATCCATCCATCTATTACCCCGCCCAGCTTGCTATCTGCCATATTGCGGCTGCCATTGCTGCCCGTGTGCGTCGGTCGGGACGCCTCCGTGTGGCTGGTAGAATCATGGTAGTGGCCGTGCACATCCCCTGGACACTGAGGCTGCTGCAGGCGGCGGGAAGAGGACCTGATGGTGCGGCTGTGAAGCAGCTGTGCCACCAGGGAGGGAAATGGCGGGGAGAGGGGGACGTGCGGATGGTACGAACATGGGATGCCCTGACGCGTGTGGTGCGGCGCCTCTGGGCGGCCAGGGATGCGGCGGTGGCTGTGGAGGGCCTCCCCCTACTGGCAACGCCTGAGCGGTTGCACCAGGATGGAGTCCAGTGGGGGGCGACGGTGGACGGCCAGGAGGAGAATGCAACACGGCGCGTGGCGGGGGATGGCTCGGCGGCGATGGCCCGAATGGAGCTGCTGGCGGCCGGGAAGGGGGCAGATAGTGCGCGTGGGGAGCCGCAGCACCGCCAGGGTTGATTGGAGGGGGACCGCCACAGAGTGATGAGGGGCGGTGGGACGCTATCGTGGCGGCAGGGGGGCCAGACGGATGGACCATCGGCAGCATCGGCATGGCATGGCCAGCGAAAGGGGGCGATGCAGCAGAGAGCACCGGCGGGGAACCGACCTGACAGCAAGGACACGCAGATGTCATCATGCTTAGTCGTGTTCGTGTGTCTTCTCTCGGCTGTGCGCACCCCAGGAGCGCCTGGCGCAGCTGTGTTGTTCTGAGACGGCTCACTGGGACCCGCAGCAGCAGCAACAGTACCACTATGACCAACCTGACGAGCGGCACAGTCATTACGGCATTGAACATGTGATGCTCTTCTCACCATACGCGTTTCTGTCTGTCTGTCTGTCTGTCTGCACCTGAGCGTTGGGCGATGCGGTGGGCGGCATCGGTCGCTGTGAAAACCAGCAGGCAGGACACGGCAGCAAATAAGTGAGTGACATGGCATTTCGAAGGACTTGTGTGACGTACCTGCTCGACAGAACTGACGGATTCGATCAACAAGCGCGCCCAACTCATCCCTTCATCGTCGGTGAGGCACATCAAATCACGTATCAAATCCACCGCCTCACGCTCAGGTTCTGTCGCGTCTGCCGGCTCCTCCGACGATGCCGACGGCTCGCTGGGCGGCTGTGGTGGCGGGGGAGGGGCGGGGGGACGACTCGACAGAACTGGGGGAGCGGCCTGCCCGCACACCCAATCGACAGGAGGGCCCAGACAAAGAGACGGGTGTACACACAGACAAAGATGTCGGCCACCCATGGCCCCCTCCCTGCCTCTGGTGTGGTGTGCAATCTGTGTGCATACCTGCTGCTGCCCATCCTCCTGCGCTTCTGTCTGTGTGGAAGTGTCAGCCACCTGCAGGCATGAGAGCACAACAGAGAGAGGACATGACGCCACCTCCCGCGACACATGTCTGTGTGCCCGTGTGTGAAGTGCCTCTGTACCTACCAAAGCTGCAGCATCCTGGCGTACCGACTCGTTGCCATGGCCAACACGACCAGCGACACCGACACCACTCACACGCCCGCCGTCCACACGCTCGTCAGGCCTTCACGGCGCTTCACGTGATGCGACGGGTGAGGGCATCTCGCGGTCAGGGCCACCGAACGGCGTCAAGATCTCCTGCACACATACATACACAGCAAGGCACACACACACACACACGAACGATGCGACAACAACACATACAGGGATGTACGTGCGTCGTGCCAATCGTTCCATCCTCAGCCCCCATCCCTGCGAACCTGCTGTCCATGGTGGATTCCTTCTGGTGAGGGCGACGGACCATCAGCTACGGCTACGGGGGCTGAGGGAGAAGCCGCCTGCATGGCATGCATTCATGACAGACAGACACATAAATTATGTGCCTCACTCTCCAACACGTGTGAAGTGCATCATGCTAGGATGGTCTCTCAATACTCACCCAAGAGGTCAGGTCATCAACGAGTCCTACCTGCAGCTCCCGGGACGGACGCCCACGCTGTCCCTCTCCCACCTCTCGCGATGTCCCTGTGCCGTCGACCATCTCCGCGCCGACACGTAGACGGCCTGCCGACAAAGCAGCAGCAAGATCGTGGCTCGCTGCTGGATCCCTGGAAGCCACAGCGGCAGCACCAGCAGCGACCTGACCAACACCCATCCATATACACCACCCACAGTTACAGCCAGCCACCGACCAAAATCGTTCTCCCTCTCTGTCTCTCGTGCCGACCTGCGGTCTCATGTCCCGTGTGGCAGTGACCACGACATCGCTGTCACGGCTGTCCAAAACGCACTTATCAATCTGTAGGTTGGTGACGCTGAAGCCACTGCCGAGCTTGGTGCCCCGATCGAGCAGCTCAACCACGTCTGAGACAGCCGTCTTCCTCACGTCGACGTGTATCTCCACGCGCCGCAGCCCCCGCACACTCTGGCAGAGCGACACGAAGGTCGAATGGAAACGGGCAGCCTCCTGCTCATCCCGCACGCATGGATTCACTACAGACAGACATCGGCAAGGCTAGGTGCACTTCCTCACTCGCTGGCTCGGCTCACCCTCTACTTCGAGTTCATGTATGGCCGGTAGCGTCGCAGCGGTACTCGTCAGCTGCTCCAAAAAGACATACTTGATCTTCACGCTGCCCACCTCCCTGTCCCTCCCGAGACCCTCGAGCACACGGACGGCGTCTTCCCCCACCCATGACTCCCCGATGACCTCCTTGACATACTTGGGCATCTTGGCGGCCACCATGGCACCCACAGCGCCCATGACATAAGGTTCGGCTTGCAGTCCCGGACGACCGCCGACGGTCAGACGGGCGGCTTGCGGCGGCAGTTGCTGCAGATGCGAGATGATCATGCTGTCCTGGGGAGGGATGGTAGCACGGAACGGGACTCGGACCTCCACCTCTGTGGCGCTGTCGAATGACAGCGTCCGGGCCAGGTCGATTGCCGCCTCTGTGGCGGGGGGCAAGGGGCCTTCTCTGAGGGAGAAAGGCAGACGTTTTATCTTCTGCGCCACCTGCTGGATCGTCCTCCTGAATGTGGGGGTGGGGTTGGGGGGGAAGTGGTCGGTGTGGAGGCTGAACGGGTTGAAGGCGTTTGTGCCGATCCCCACAGAGACCGGGACGTCGGGCGATATACAGCAGTTGGTGACGAGGCCATCAAGAGCGCAAAGGTCACCGCACAGCTCGGCAGGGTCAGGTGGGAGGACAACGTCGAGCCCTGTGAGGGACTTGCGGCAGCCACGCGCTGACAGAGCTACCTGATTACATTCAAGCAAAGGTGCACAAGAAGACGCGATACACGCTGCGAGGTGCATATATTCTGATCACCTGTAGCTGACGCAGCCCACTCGATTCTACAGAAGCACGACGTTGGGAACAAAGGATCCTTATCTTGCCGATACTCTTGAGCTGGCTGAGAGGCCCCGGCTGCCCACCATCGCCCACAGGCAGATGCTCAAAGGCCGACGCCCACCCGCCACCTGAGAAATCCCCGTCGACGTGCTGCAGGCGTCGAGAGGTGCAAATGAAGCGGCCCAACGAGGGGCACGACCACCCCGTCTGCTCCACTCGAGCAAGAGAGGGCATGCGCCACCCTCTGTCAGCCATCCTGCTATGTCCATACGGCTCAGTCCAAACAACTCTGTGAGGTCGACGACGGGTAACAACTCCGTCTGCGAGTCCCGTGACGGACGTGAGCGCGTGAAGGGTCGGCGGAGGGACTGCGGGCGGAGGGAGGGGAAGATCGCACCGCTGCAGTCGGGGCTTGTCCCAAGATAGGGATACCTTCTCCAAAACAATAGTCTGCAGGCTTCCTCCCTGCATGTTGGCTGTTCGCCGCCCCTCAGCGTGGCCTTCGACGAATGTGATGAAGACGTCAAAGCACCAGAGAGTGGCGAAAACGGGATAGCAGAAGATAATGGACGTGAGGCGAGTGAGGGACGCTGCCAGCCCCTTCACGAGGCCGATTGGGATGCGCTCCCAGACGGACCGCTCCTCCTTGTCAGCCGGGCTGATGACGAGCCGTGTGTGGTGAGGTGCAACGGCCTCCCTCATGTGCCGCGACACGTACACCCGAAGATGAAGCGGCAAGAACACAGCGACGCAATCCAGCAGGCCGGGCTGCATGACACATTTTGTGACACGAACGAGAGAAATCCAATACGTCCGTGTCATGACCTAGCATAACCTCACCGTGTCTGATATCATTGCAGAGAGCTCAGGTTTGATCTCCTCATTATCGCTGAGGGGATGGGCTGCCTGTGCGGACTCGTCTGCGGCAGTGGCTGAGCTGTCCTCCTTTGGCCCAATGGCGTCAGATGAGCACGAAGCCGCCATCACCGAACGAACAAACCTGTAATGAACGGACAAGACACACAGAGATGCAGCATTGAGGTGAATGGATGAGTGCTCGGCCTCACCAGGTCTTCGGATATCTATCAGCTCAATGACCAGCCATCCCACCACAAAAGTCGAGAGGGCAGCGGTGCGATGATTGGAGTGCTTCGATTCGCCGTTCGCTCGGCTAATGCGTCACATTCGCTACGCAGGTCCCCCTTGGGGTTCAGGGTTTTAAACCCTACCCTGAGCCCAAACCCTGCATTTGGCGGTTGCCGATTACGGGATGTTTGCGCGTGTTGGCCTCTTATTTGACACATGGATACTTCAATCACTCTCTCACCTCTGTCTGCACCGCATCCATCCATGGTCCCGTCTGAGCCCACCAAAAATGAGAGAGAGAAGTCAGTTGGCGTCACATACACACACACGCACCAATGTCATGTCAAAATTGGATGCGCACCACAGCACTCAGCTGAGGGAGGCCGGCACGGCGTGCACGCTGTGGGTGCGTGTGAGTTAGCGTGGGTAAGTGTGTGTGTGTGTGTGTGTGTGTGGAAAAGAGACACCTAAAACACGTGGACATCTGTCTGTCTGTCTGTCTGTGGGCTGCCAGAAAGATGAGCCAATACATACACACAGAAGATATATATATATCGGCCATATGTCAGCCAGACAGCGGGATAGAGAGAATGAATGAATGAATGAATGAATGAATCAAAGAAAGAAAAAAAGACAGGACGATAGGCCGAGCCTCAGAGAAGTCTCCCTGCTTGTCGCTCGAGTCAGTCAGTCAGTCAGTCATATCCAAAGGGGTGTGCAGACGTGTCCACGTACAGTCCACGTACACCAGCATTGTTCCATCAAAAACGCTGCCGATCTCCCGGCGTATCGATGCCTGTCTGTTCGTGGGGGTGTGGCAGTGTGTGTCAGTCAGTGACCAGGCAAACACACAAGGGATGGCACATCAATCAATCGCCGCCTGTCCTGTCCACCCCCTCCCCTCTCACCTCCACGTAGCTGAGAATATGGTCCCGTCTGGCCCACCAAAAATGAGAGAGAGAAGTCAGTTGGCGTCACATACACACACACGCACCAATGTCATGTCAAAATTGGATGCACTGCAGCACTCAGCCGAGGGAGGCCGGCACGCTGGGGGTGCGTGTGAGTGAGTGTGGGTAGATGTGGGTAAATGTGTGTGTGCGTGTGTGTGTGGAAAAAGAGACACCTAAAACACATTGACATCTGTCTGTCTGTGCGCTGCCGGAAAGATGAGCCAATACATACCGTGCATGTATGCATGTATGTAATCATATCCATCCATCCATCCATCACCCCGACCACCCCGAAAATGGGACACACACATGCAATGTCACACATCGATTGTCCTTTCGAATCACTCTCCTGCTTTGTTTTGCCTGCTGCAGCAGCAAAGTGGAAAACCCCACCTACTAGAATAGTCGAATAGCGACGAGAGAGCCTGGCTGGCTGGCTGATGGATGGATGGATGCGTGCGCATCTGATGCACGCAGCAGCAGCATCGCTGGGGTAACGAAGACGTGAATGTCGCTAGGGAAAAACACAAGTATGCCATAAGCCGTTCACAAAAGACCCAGCCACATGCACTTGTGTGGATAAGAAAACGACGGAGAGACCAAACTCAGCCACCAGCGAGCCACACGCACACACGCGCACACGCACACGGGCATCCACATACGTATATGTATGTGTATACGTATATATGTATATGCATATGTATGTGTATACGTATATGTATATGTGTGTACACAAATACAGACGCCTGACACACACGTACGTACATGGCGTCCACGTCAATCTCATGTCACACCAATGGATAACACGGGCAGCCAGCCAGCCAGTAAGTCAGACAGACAGACATACACTGGGAGAGAACCTAATTCAGCGTCGAGCGATGCATCACCTAGCGATAGTCAGACATTGCACAGACAGAGACGAGCACCTCGATGAAGGCAGGCAGGCAGGCAGGCAAGCGACTGGGCTGGATGAGCGCCACGCCGTCTGCAGTCATTATGGTACACAGGCGTCACACCACGTCGCTCAGAGGGGGAGGGACAAAGCACTGGTCATTCCACATCACGCAGACAGCCACAGCCACTGCCATCACATCACATCATGACCTCCACGCACCACCCACACCCACAAGTACACGTACACGTACATGCCCTCCGTTAAAACGTGCTGGATCGATGTACGCACAGGCAGGCAGGCAGGCAGGCAGACAGGCAGACAGGCAGGCAGACAGACAGACAGGGAGTGAGTGGGTGGGTGGGCGACACGGCACAGGACAATGCGATATACGTGGCCGCAATCACCTCACTGTGCTGTGCTGTGCATGCAGTCACGTGCTGACGTGCCAAGTGTGTGTGAGTCTTGTCAGGTGCACGGTGCATGGCGAGAAGCGTCGACTTCCGCCACGCGCCGACAAGACCAAAACACACATGGACGTCAAGACATCCACTCACGCGACCAAGCCACACAAACTCAGCACCCACAGCCATTCACCCGACACGAAGTCATGACATTCACACACCCACAGGTACCCAAGACAGAAGCGATCGACACAGCTGCGTGTGTATGCATGACCTGGTGTGCGATAGTGTTGGTGTGTCGTCGTCCCGTTTGACCACAGGGCGGTTGCCGCTGTATGCCAGGGAGGCACAGACGAAACACACACATGCACGTCAGCACACACACGCACACGAGCAGGAAGCACCATGTCATCACCATGTCATGCACACGTAGGTACCATCCTCCTTTCCACCACACCCACCACACGACGAACACTCACTCAATCAGCCAAGCAGCCGGACGACAAGCAGCCCATCCCCCCACACGCATGGTCGGGTTTGGCGATCACTGCTGTTGGTCGGTGGTGGATGTGGATGTGCCGACAGCCGTCTTCCCCTCTCCCTCGCCCTCGCCCTCCCCCTCGCCCTCGCCCTGCACTGCTGACATGTCGCCCGGCTGCACCTGCCCACATGGTGCTGCTCCTGCTGCCGACATGGTGGGTGCCGTGCCGTTGACGTCTTGCACCGATGATGCTGCTGCTGCTGCTGCAGCAGCAGTGGAGGTGGCCGACGGCTGTAGCAGCGTGAGTGGCTCCATGGGTGAGGGGGTCGTGTCTTCCTCGGGGATGGTGGGCAGGTCGGTCTCGAATCGACTGGTGCTTGTGTACGTTGGCGCGATGGTGCTCATGCCCACCGGGATGCTGTCGTGGGTCGGCTCGGCGTCGCTTTGGAAGAAGCCCATTGCGGCGAAGTCATACGGCGTGTCCATGTGGTCAAGCCCCCAGCCACACGAGCCGACGTCAGCCTGCGCGCTGCTCCTGCTGAAGAACCTCACCCCAGGCGGCTGGTCGTCACCCGTGGGGAACATGCATTCGGAGTGCTTGACGATCACGGTGAGGGGGATGGGTTGGGGGCGGCTGTAGTCGGTGGTGGCGAGAACGTCCGTGAAGCTCTTGTTGAATGGCAGGCTCAGTAGTTTCTCGAGGAGCTTGCTGTTGCCTTTGAAAGCGAAAGCGCGGGAGTCCTCGTACTCGAGACCCACAAACAGCCTGGCAAGTAAAGACACCATTCGCACCCATCCATCCAGACGCTATAGTCTTTCTCTCTGTCTGTCTGCGTTCATGTGTGTGTGTTGTTCGTACCCGCCTTGCGCGGCTTCGTCCTTGGTGATGGGGAATCGCAGACGCACACCACACGCACATCGGCACCGTCCTCGACCACGTAGCGCTTCGCGCTCTCGACCGTCTTGGGCGGCACGAGGAGGGCGTCGATGCCGTTGATGCCCCTGGCCGACAGGCTCGACTGGAAGGTGCCAGCAATCCCCACGGCATCGACCCGAGGGCACCCCACGCCGTCCTCGTCCTTGAAGAAACCCAGCTGGAAAGGCTCTCGACCTATGTGAGGGAGGCAGAGGCTGGTGCCTTGCGCGTACGGCAGGACGCGGCTGACCCACATGGGTATCTCATGCCCGTCCCAGCCCCCCTGGCCCCCCTCCCCCTGCCCCCCCTCCTGCACCGATGATGACGCTGGTGCCGCTGCTGCTGCTGCTGCCGGGGGGCTGGTGGGGCCGGTGGCTTTCTGCAGGCCATCCCCACCGTCCTTGCCGAAGGCCTTGTACCAGGCGCTGCTGGGCATGACGCACGTCATGTCAACCACCAGCTCGCTCGAGTCGCGCTGCGGGCGGGCGTACGGGTCGATGAGGCACTTGAAGGCCTTGATGAAGTAGTGCGCGGGGATGAATGCACCGTCTGCGTGCTGCTGGGTGGTGCATGTGTAGACGCAGTCGACGGTGATGGCCGTGTTGCCGCCCTGGTATCCACCGGCGCCCTGGGGGTTGAGGGCCCACTTGCCGTACATTGCCGCAGGGCCAGGACCTGGGTTGGCAGGAGCCTGGATGAAGGTGGGGCTGATCGTGCCGGCGGGGCTGATGATGATGCGGGCGTGGGGGAACTCCACGGTCACCTCATCCAGGTCCATGCTCGAGTACTTGTTGTTGCCGAGGGGCCAGATGCGTTGCTGAGGGACCAGGCCGTTGACCACAGCCCACAGGTGTCCAGAGCGGTCGGGCAGCAGCGCTCCACCCAGCGCGCTGGAGAACCTGGAAGCAGAGAGGCAGACAGCACGACACACATGGATGGATGGATGTACACACACCCCATCCACCCCACTTACCCCATCTTCGAGGCCGTCGTGTTCTTCGGGGTGTAGGCCATGACGACTGAGGACAAGAACCTGCCGCCGAAATACGAGTTGGGCACCTCCACTCTCACGGCATGCGTCCCGTCCGGCTGCAGCCCGCGGTTCTCGAAAATAGCATGCCGGAAGGGTGGCCGCAGGCCGCCTTGGCAGCCGTCTTGCCACACGAGACAGAGACGTCTCGGCAGGCTCGTCGAACCCACCGACCTCAATCACCGTGCGGTAATCCTCTCGCCGCCCCGTTTTCTGCATATGGTAGCACACCCCCACCACTCGGGCCTCGAGTCGAAGGGCGGCGGCCGCCACAAAGCTGATGACCCGATACCCGAGTTGGAGGATGCGATGCAGACGGACCTTCTTGTTGTGCGGTGTCGGATCCTTGCCTTGCCCAGCGTCATCAGACTTGGCAAGGGATGACGAAGCAGAGGCCGCTGCAGTGGATGACGGAGCCGGCTCGGTCATAGTGATGAGACGGGCAGAGCGCGGGGCGCCGCTGCTGCCGAGACCCAGATGAGCCAGATGAGCTCGAGGCTGCGGTGTTGTTGATGCAGGGCCGCCGTGGCAGATGCCCTCCTCCTCGTTGCGCGAGATGTCTCAATATGCGCCTGAGGTAGAGATGCAAAGGCAGCGGAGGGCGGGAGGGCGGCAGTGGACGAAGGGGTAACCAGGAGTCCCACACGACGTCAGATCAGCGAATAAGAATGAATGCCGTCCTTTCTACATGCATCCTTTGCGAGCTCAGCACGTCTAAGCTTGCAAAACGGGCTGAATAGGGAAAAGAGTGTAGCATAGGGCTCGCAGAAAGTGAAGGAAGACGTGAATGGGTTGCTTTGTCTGGTTTGTCACGTCGGCCATCCATTCGATAGGTCAGAAAGCACACGAAGCACCGCTGGGAGGAGGCATCTACAGCATTGCTGCGCTGTGTGTGTGCAGGAGATGCCACCCGAGATGGTCGCTAAGCAAGAAGCGGCGAGAGGCGGGTCGTGATGATGGCATCGCACACACAGCCGACATCGGCAGGGCCTCCTCTGCGGACGGCCAAGCTGAATGTGGACAACCGCATCTACCACCTGACAGAGCTGCCAGGCGGTGCGGGAGCCTCAGCCAAGGTGTGGAGGGGATCGGCAGGCTACGATTACCCCAGTGCTGCCTTCAAGTTATTCCCCTCTGGACAAAACGAGGCCGTCAATCCCAAAGCCGTCAGAGAAGCGAGGATGCTGAAACACGCACGTAACATCCTCAAGGACGGTGGACGGCCTCGCTTCTTTCCCTTCGTCGAGCTCGTCTACGATGAGCCAATACGAGGGCGGCTGGTGGAGGAGGGCAAGAAAGACGAGCATGTCGATGTTGTTGTGATGGAGCTGCTTGGTGAGTGAGGGAGCAAGGGGGAGAAAGGGGGAGAGGAGAGAGGGAGAGAGGCATGACGGCATGCACCTGCTGATTCGTGTATCGTGTGTGTTGTCGGCCGGCCTTCAGATACTGGTCGAGGGGCGTACATGGCCGTCAAGGGGCACCATAAGAAGTACAGCTTCCCCAAGATAGTCGAGAAGTGCCGCCTGCTGACCAACCCCACCCCCACCCCCAACACCAAGAAGCAAGGCCCACCCCAAATCATTCGCCATGATATCTTGACAGACCTGCGGCAAATTCTGGGGAGCGCGAAGCTCACCGCCGTGGGGTATCGAGAGGCCCAGCGGACGTATCAGCTGCTGCTGTGCGACCACGCAGCGGCCGACACGTTCTTCCACCACAGGAGCCTTGAGGAAGCAATACACGGCTGCACTTCACCGCGTGGCCAAGACGCCCCCCTCCGCGTGCCCAAGTTTGTCGATATGGCAGACGTTCTGGAGACACGCGAGAGGGCCTTCGACCGTTCCAGCTTCCTCTCGGGCCGCAACGCGGTCTTCGTGAGCTTCACCGCCGCAGACCGAGCGGCAGCAGACCAGAGCGTCGCCGGCAAGCCCCTGGAAGAGTCGCCCGAGGAGAGCGTCTTCTATGTCCAGCATGCGGTGAAAGAGGGGGATATGGAGGAGATGCTGGGGGGCAGGGAGGACGACCAGACGAAGATCCGTGAGGACCACACGAAGATCCGTGAGCTGCTCAAGACCAACATCGACCGTTGGAACGGCCTGGGGCTGGTCCCAGATGACAGGAGCGGCATGTTCGTGGATGCCGGCTGGGTGGGCAGGTTCCACTGCTCGGTGTCCATCCGGGAGCAGATGCTCGGCAACTCTCTGGCCCGCTGGACCTTCGACAAGAAGACACCTCAGAACGAGAGCCCGGAGGACCGTGAGCAGAGGGAGCTGCGAGAGGCCAAGATGAAGCTGCTGCAGTGGGATCAGACCCTCAAGGAGATCTTTGACGAGAGGGGGTTCCCGCGCGAGAAGCCGGGCAGCGAGAGCTTCAACGACCTGCGTGAGTGTGAGGGAGTGGATGGGCTGGAGTGGGTCAAGCCAGTGGCGCTGCTGTTGGCCAGGCTGTGCCGCAAGGGCCTCGCCTGGTCGCCACTCGATCGGGGGTCCCTCGACGAGCTGATTGAGGGGCTGGATCTGGGACTGAAGCTGGTGGGCGACTCTCGAGTGCTGGGCAGTCCACGGTCAGAAGTGGGAGCCCTCAGACGCTGCAAAGGCCATCTTGTCTCAGATCGAGCAGTTGACCGCTGATGAGGTCGGGCCAAGGAGGAGGGAAGGACAACGGGACACACGGGGATACACACACATGTGTTGGTTGGTATTTGTTTGCCATGTTTGCATGCAGGCTGCTTCCCCGTCGTCGAGTAGTCGTGGCCCCCCCCCTCCCCCACTACACCAGCCCCCTAGCCACCCACCTGTCGCCAGTGAGGAAGTCGAAGATGCGGCGGGAGAGGTGCGTGACGGTGTCGCTGCTGGGCGTGGTGTTGCTGGCGCTCACGGGGCCGCGCCACCCAGCGGACCAGTGCCTCAGGTACTCATTGTCGATGCTCATGGATGGGGAACGGTTGCTCATTTGTGCGTTTTGCTCGTATGCTGTTGATGGTCTCACATGCAGGTGGCTGACACTTCCACACTGGCTGCAGCCGACCGGTCGGCAACTCCGTCAGGAGCCACACACGAGGATGGACAACAGCAGGCACGTACAAAGATGCACACCACACAAGAGGCAGGGGGCCATGGGCGGCCGACAATCCGTCTGTATGTGCACTCGTCTCCGTGTATGTGCCCCGCTGTCGCTTGGGTATGCCTGCAGGCTGCTCCTTCAGCTCTGTCGACTCGTCCCCCCGCCAGTGCCTCGCCACCACAGCCGCCCACCGAGCCGTCTGTGTCGCCGTCTGCCTTGCTCGACCCCTCTGCACCCGCCGCTGCTCATGCTTCTAGTGGTGGTGGTTGGTCGGGTGACTCGGTCTTCGCTCCGCCAGCAGTTGACGAGGCCGTGCCCTCACACGCGCACATGCCCCCGGTACCTTGCAGACAAACCTGCAACACACACATGGCAGGAGACATGTGGCACTTCCCGCTATGTTGGTCATGCAGATGCCCTTTCCGTTTCCCATCACCAACGGTGCGGCAGAGGCTGACCAGCAGCAGGTGGACATTCCCAGAGACAGACAAAGGAGAGGGGACTTGACACACACACATCTATCTGCCCTTTCCACACGCAGGTGGCCTCGCCATGGGCCTTCCCGAGCCATCGCCTGGACGCCGCCAGCGAGGCATCAGCGGCTGTGGGGGCGGGGCAGCTCAGTGGTGGTGTTGGTGTTGGCGACCAGCACTGGCTGGCGGGCAACATGTATAGGGTGGAGTGGGGGCCTTCCGGCTTTGGTGTTGGTGCTGATGATGGCGACGTTGCTGCACCGCCGTGTGCTCAAGCGGCCCCGGTACATACCAAAAGACCGAACGAAAGAACAACAATGCTCGGACCAATGCGGTCGCCTCCCTTGCATGTGTGTGATGCTCAAATGCAGCTGTTCGCGTTTCCAGGAGCACCCGTAGCCGACGGTGCATCATTGTCTGCCGACGGGCAGCAGGTACACAGCATACACATCAGAGACACGGGGCAATAGACAGCCGACGATCCACACGCACATCTGTTTGTATGTCCGTCTGTCGATATGCAGGCAGTGGAGGGTTTTCCTACAGCCCCCATCATGTCGCCCATTGACGCGACACTCTCCGAGATGGCACCCCCATTGGCGCCATCGGCTGCCGTGGGCAATCGGTCGTCGCCCCTCCCGTCGAATGCCCATCCCATGCACCTCCTCCCGGCCCACGAAGCCCCTCTCGCCTCATTTGGCGAGCCAGCGGCAGCTGCTGCTTCAGTGCGAGGCCACCCAGCCCTCGGCAGCGGGATGATGAGGGGAATGGTGGACTCAGAGAGGTCCCGAGAGGTCGGGGGGGCAGCTGCGTCTGACAGCGACCCCTGGTGAGACGCAGGGACAGCTGGGGGCGAGCGGGTATCTGAGGGCGATGACGAAGGATTTGATGGCGTGGATGGCGCAGAAGGACCTTCCTCAAAATCCACAGCAGGTATTGATGTCTACATGTGTTCAGTGCTAGCAAGCATCAAAGACGGGCCGGTTCTCTGTATGTATGGCGGTCAGGTCGCTGGTGGTTCTGCTGCTGCAGCGGCGGTTCCCCGGTCAGCGCTCGACGGCACAGCCAGGCCAAGTGCTCCTGCGGTGGGCACAGCCGAGAAAAAGACATCCACACGACTAAGGCGTGATGATCTCTGTGTGTTTTTGTTGTCAGGTCGCCTCCTCGTCTGTCATCTCTGCTGCGGCGCCCCCCTTCGCCAGCCCTGCCACGTCGATGCTGCCGATGGTCCATCCCCCCGGCCCTCCTGCCGCCATGATGGCGTCCCACCGCCCCTCATCACTCTATGGCGGCCCCCCTCCACTCAACCCTGGCGGCGCTGCGGCTCCACACGTGCACTATCCGCCCCCTTCCCGGCCGCCTGCACCTCCATCCGGACCATCGCCGTCACATCATCCCCCGCCACCCCCCATGCTCCCATTTCCTCCGGCTGGCGTTGCCTACAGACCCCCGCTGCATCCCCAGCGGCCCGGAGGGGCCCCACCAGGGCCACCGCAGCCGCACGGGAGAGGAACAGGCCGATAGACAGACAGGCAGGGGTGTACACTACATATTGCATTCAGGTGTGCGGGCGGCTGACAGGTCAGGCAGCGGGCCGGGCCGGGAGTAGACGTGTGTGTGGGGAGGGAGGTAGCGGAAGGACACCAACGGGCTGACAGTCTGAGTGTCTGAGTGTCTGAGTGCGTGTCGGTGTGCATAGGGGAGGGAGGGAACTGACAGATCTGATGGATGCTGCAGACTGGCAGTGCTGTACAACGGTGCGCAGAGTCTGCAGAGAATGGCGCACCGCTGCAGTGGCTCTGCAATGCAAAACTTCTGCTTACACTCAGCCCAAACCAAGCCAATAGAACCATCACCCCGCGAGAATGAGAGCCTGAGGCCTTGGCCAGGAGAAAATTGCGAGCTCCAAGCTCGCAACAGAAGAAAGCGGCACGGCGGTGCTGTGTGTCTGTGCGGAGAATCACGTCGCTGCTGTCGTTTAGAAGATGGCCATTGCCGCGGAGGGTTTTCCCGACCTGAGTAGGGACGACCCGCACTAGTGGTCTGTGAAGTACCGCCGGCTGGAGATGGACCACCCTGCGGTGAGTGAAAGGGCGGGGAGGGCAGACATGCCAATGCAAGGCAGCTCACGCCATGCACACTTGCACCGCCACACCAATGGAGCTTGGTGCGTGTGTTCCGGACCGGTGGCTTTCTGTGTGTGTGTTTCTGTGCAGGAGTTCGAGAGGTGGAGGGATGGCCTGTCCATGGACGAGTTGGAAACGGCGGCGCGGGGCATGTGGGCGGTGAGTCTGCGACACACCCTTTCTCGTCCACCCACCACCATACAGCTCCGTCTGCACAAACACACATGTGGGTCTCATCTCTGTGCTGTGCTGTGTGCTGGGCAGATGATGGAGCAGCTCGAAGCCCGAGAGGCCAACGAGGCCGCCAGCACCACCGGCCAGGCCCCGCCAGTTCCGGCCAACCCACCCATCACCTACTCCCCCACCCTACCCGCCTCACAGCACCACTACTACCACTACACGCGCCCCTTCCCTCCCGCCCCCCCGAAGCTCCAGTTCCAGCCGTTCATGGCCACCCAGGTCGAGTTGACCGGCCTCGCTGGAGTGGAGGGGGAGGCGGAGGAGGGGTGGTACGAGGACGACGTCAACGGCATGATGCTGTGGGAGCGCGGGGAGGGCAACACCTGGTGGGTGAGGTCGGCGCGGCAAAACTGGTGGATGAGGATGGTGTGGGGGGTTTATTCCATCTGGTGGGGCGCCCCCGAGCGCTCCCACTGACTGACTTTTTCTTTGTTGTGCGTCGGTCGTCCCTGTAGTGTTTTGTTGTGGTGGCCGACATCCTTTCTTTTTCGTCGTGTTGTGTTTGTCGACGTGCCGCAAGGTAGGTATGTCGGAATGAGTGCATCCGGCCCTCTGTTTGCAACGAATCCCTGGCCCGTCCGGGTGCCTGCCTGTCTGTCTGACTCATTCATCGAGGGGTCAGCATGTGTGTGTGTGTGTGTGGCTGGGGAGGGAGGTTCTTTCCGCCTGGCTGGCTTTTTGTGAGGTTCGTTGTGTCTGCCTGTGTGGATGTCACAGGCAGACCTACGCCCTGCGGCTGACGGGTCAGGCAGGCCGGGAGTAGACGTGTGTGGGGGAGAAGAATGGGTTGACTGTGTGAGTGTTCTTCATGTGTGCTGCTGTTGTGCATAGGGGAGGGAGGGAACTGCCTGATCTGCTGGCTGGATGGCTGGATGGCTGGCGGTGCAGCGGTGCGACGCGCAGAGTCTGCAGACAGCTTCAACGCAATGGCTCTGCAATGCACAACTCCTGCGCACAGTCAGCCCAAACCAAACGGACGGGCCCGAAATGACGGGCAGCTTCGGCGGCCAGAAAAATTGCGAGCTTGAGCCCTCAAGCTCGCTTTGGGAGAGAAAGCAGAGGAGCCCCCGTGTGCTGTTTCAAGTCGAGAGAGGAGCTGAGAGAATGCCCGTCCCCGCGTCCGCCTACCCCAACCTGGCTAGAGATGACCCTTATGAGTGGTCCTTGAAGTACGGCCGGCTGCAGATGGACCACCCGGAGGTGAGTGAAAAGGCAGGGAGCACAGACATGCCAATGCAGAGCAGTTCACCCCATGCACGCTTGTATCGGCGCACCAATGGAGCTTGACCCGAGTGTGGCCTTCTGTGTGTTTCTGCAGGAGTTTGAGAGATGGAGGGAGTCCCACTGGCCACACCGCGTGGGCGAGTTCATTGAGGCATGTTCGCGCATGTGGGCGGTGAGTCTGCGACACACACGTGCTCATCCACCTACCACCATACAGCAACGTCGTCTGCACAAACACGCATGTCGGTCTCATCTCTGTGCTGTGCTGTGTGTATTGGCCAGCTGGCGGACCTGCTGGACGAGCAGAAGGCCCGAGAGGCCAACGAGGCCGCACCCGCCACCAACGAGGCCACCACCACCACCGCGGCCCAGGCCCAGGAGCCGCCAGTGGCCGCCCGCGCAGCCAACCCGCCCACCACCTACGCCCCGCCACTCCCCCACCCACAGCACCACTACTACCTGCCCCCCTCCCCTCCCGCCCCCCCGAAGCTCCAGTTCCAGCCGTTCATGGCCACCCAGGTCGAGTTGACCGGCCTCGCTGGAGTGGAGGGGGAGGCGGAGGAGGGCTGGTACGAGGACGACGTCAACGGCGTCATGCTGTGGGAGCGCGGGGAGGGCAACACCTGGTGGGTGAGGTCGGCGCGGCAGGACTGGTGGATGAGAATGGTGTGGGGGGTTTATTCGATCTGGTGGGGCGCTCCCGAGCGCTCCCACTGACTGACTTTTTTTTCTGTTGTGCGTCGGTCGTCCCTGTTTGTGGTGTTTTGTTGTGGTGGCCGATATCCTTTCTTTTTCGTCGTGTTGTGTTTGTCGACGTGTCGCAAGGTAGGTATGTCGGAATGAATGTTTGCAACGAATCCCTGGCCCGTCCGTGCCTGCCCGCCTTTCTGTCTGACTCATGCATTGAGGGGGCCGCATGTGTGTGTGTGTGTGGCTGGGGAGGGAGGCTCTTTCCCGCCTGGCTGGCTTTTTGTGAGGTTCGTTGTGTCTGCCTGTGCGGATGTCAGAGAGGCCGCCCTCCGCCAGTTTTCAGTTAGGTGTGCGGGCGGCTGACAGGTCAGGCAGGCCGCGAGTAGACGTGTGTGTGGGAGAAGAATGGGTTGACTGTGTGAGTGTTCTTCATGTGTGCTGCAGTTGTGCATAGGGGAGGGAGGGAACTGACTGATCTGATGGATGGCTGGCGGTGCAGTGGTGCGACGCGCAGAGCCTGTATACACGATAGCTTCAACGCAATGGCTCTGCAATGCACAACTCCTGCGCACAGTCGGCCCAAACCAAACCGATAAGGTCGAAATGATGGACAGGCGCCCAGCCTGGAGGAAGCTTCCGGCGGCTAGGAAAATTGCGAGCTCAAGCTCGCAGAGAGCCTTTCAGGAAGGAGAAGGCGCCGCCGCTGTGAAGAAGATGCCTGCCGCCCCCCCAGAGTTCCCCAACTTGAGTAGGGATAACGTGTTGGAGTGGTGCGACAAGGTCGCTGCGCTGTGGGACCACCACCCCGAGGTGAGTGAAAGGGCGGGGAGTGCGGCCATGCCAATGCAAGGCAGCTCACGCCTTCGACGCTTGCATCAGCAAACCTGGAGCCAATGGACCCAGGAGTGTTTCCGATGGCTTCTGTGTGCTTTTCTGCAGGAGTTCCATAGATGGCACGATGCCCAGGACCAGGATCAGCTCCTTCACGCGCTCCGCCACATGTTTGATGTGAGTCTGCGACGCACGCGCAACGCCATGAAACACACTCATCACGCACCTCAGACACATACGCCGACACTCATCTCTGGGCTGTGCTGTGCTGTGTGCTGAACAGGTGGCGGAGAACTGGTCGGACGAGGAGCTCGATCAGGCCCCGACCAACCCGCCCACCACCTGCGCCCCGCCCCTCCCCCACCCACAGCACCACTACTACCTGCCCCCCTCCCCTCCCGCCCCCCCGAAGCTCCAGTTCCAGCCGTTCATGGCCACCCAGGTCGAGTTGACCGGCCTCGCTGGAGTGGAGGGGGAGGCGGAGGAGGGCTGGTACGAGGACGACGTCAACGGCGTCATGCTGTGGGAGCGCGGGGAGGGCAACACCTGGTGGGTGAGGTCGGCGCGGCAGGACTGGTGGATGAGAATGGTGTGGGGGGTTTATTCGATCTGGTGGGGCGCTCCCGAGCGCTCCCACTGACTGACTTTTTTTTCTGTTGTGCGTCGGTCGCCCGTGTTTGTTGTGTTTTGTTTTGGCGGCCGACATTTGTTTTCTTTTTCGTCCTCTTGTGTTTTTCGTAGAGAGATCCAGACAGCCCGACAAAGCGACTTTTTTTCTTTTGTTCCTTCATTTCTTTTCTTTCGTGGTGTCCCTCGCCCACAGCCACTATGCTTTCTGACCTCCCCTCCCCTCCCCTCGGCTGTCTGTCTTTCCGTTATGCCAGCGGCCCTCCTGGCTCTCTCTTTCCCTGCCTTTTGCTACGTGTACTGACGGATGGATGTTCTTGCTGGGGGGCTTGGTGGATTTTCACTCTGCATACGATGGAGGGAGGGAAGTTGATCGAGTCGGGCTTGGGAGCGCTGTGCTGTTGTGCTGCTGTGGTGTTTTGTCTATGGCCATCCAAAGAGAGAGAGAGAGAGAGAGGGAGGGTGTCTGTGGCGGATGGTTGAGGGGCCGCTGACCACACGGCGGACGGCAGTGGCGACAAGGAGCGGCCGGAGGGGCAGGGGCAATCTGATAAGGACGAGGGGTGAGCAAAGGAGACCAAGCAGGAGGAGGAGCAGCAGCAGGAGGAGGCGAGCACCAAAGCCAACTCTCACAAGAAGGTACGTCACCTGGACACCCCCACACTCTCGACAACACCTGACATTGCTAAACCTTCCGTCGTCTGCTTCAGTGTTGTCTGAGTGGTTCCCCTTTGTGTCGCCCCTCTCGCCCCGCACACGCACCACCTTCAGCTTCTGGCCAGCTCAGTGAGATGACGTTGAGTATGGCGGCGTGGTCGGGGCCTGCCCGCGCCCTAGAGTGGTGCGCTGAGGAGGAGCCCTCCGACATCGCCCTCCCCCGACCGCCTCCCAAAGCCACTGCACCCACCGAGGGCGGCAACGGCGGCCCCGAGACGACGGGCGGCGGCGCGAGAGACGACAAGAAGGAGACTAAGATCACCAAGGAGAACCTGCAGGTGCTCCACTCGGCCTCACGGCTCCTTATCATGACGACTAACCTAATGAAAGCGTTCGAATCTGCCTGGTAAGGATGGAGACACATAAGGGGAGAGGGGATAAGTGCTTATCGGTTGTCTGGTTCCTTGTTGTGTGTGTGCAGGCGTGACGTGCCCACTGCGGGCTTCATCCGGCTGCTCAAGCTGCCATCCCCCCCGCCAGCCAGCGCCCGACTCTCGCGCACTCCCAGGACGGCCATCAAGCGACCAGCTCGCGAAGTACGCACACACCACACACGACGGTGCTGGTGACACCGACG